AATCTCTTGTACTGGCTTCACTTCCTCAACCTTTTCGATTGGTTTCTCTTCAACTACAACAGATTTTTCTTCTACTGCTTTGGGTTCTGAGGTCTTTGATTCCACTGTTTCAGTTACTACAATAGTTGTGGTAGTAGCCTGCGAGGTGGTCTCAGTAACAGGTTCTTCTGTTTTTTCTTCTTCGTCAGAAAATACCATTGGTTCGTCAAGAACATCCATCCAAGTACCTGAAGATTCATCAATGGGAAGACCAGCGTAAGCAGGTTTCTTGGGTTCTTCCTTGACGGGTTCAGCAGGTTGTTCCACTTTCACTTCTTCAATCTCTTGTACTGGCTTCACTTCCTCAACCTTTTCGATTGGTTTGCCTTCAACCACAACAGATCTTTCCTCTACTGCTTTGGATTCTGAGGCCTTTGATTCTACTGTTTCAGTCACTACAATAGTTGTGGTAGTAGTCTCAGCAGCAGGTTCTTCTGTGTTTTCTTCTTCGTCAGAGAATACCATTGGTTCGTCGAGAACATCCATCCATGTACCTGAAGATTCATCAATGGGAAGACCAGCGTAAGCAGGTTTCTTGGGTTCTTCCTTGACGGGTTCAGCGGGTTGTTCCACTTTCACTTCTTCAATCTCTTGCACTGGTTTCACTTCCTCAACCTTTTTGATTGGCTTCTCTTCAACCAATACAGAAATTTTTTCTACTGGTTTCAGTTCTGAAGTCTTTGATTCTTCTGCTTCAGTAACTACACCAATTGTCTTAGTGGTTTCCGTCGTAGCCTGGGAAACACTTTCTTCTGTTACTAATTTCGTGGATTGTTCTATGATAGTTTGCTCTACTACCAATTCTACAACTGGTTTTACGTATTTTTCCTGTTCCATTGGTTTCTCTTCGGCAAACTTTTCTTGTGGTTTAGGCTCAGTGTGTGTTTTTGGAATGTCTTCAGAAAATATGTCATCAATTTCTTCATCAATCATATCTTTCCAAGATTTAGATTGATTTTGACTATTATCGTTTTCACTAATTTTATCAGTCGCTGAAAGTGTTGTTTCAGTGAAGTTATTCCATTCGAAATCATCCAGAGTTTGTTTCTGCTCAAAAGCAGGTTCTGGTTCCTCAATCTTTCTATATTCAATTTTTTCAACTTGTTTAGCTTTTTGGGGAGCCGGTTTGACCTTCTCGATCTTCGGAGCGGGTCGATTTCGTTCATTGCTAATAAAATCTGTTGTGGATTGGCTCACTATAGAGGCCCATGACAGTTTAGAAGGAGCAGCGGCTTGAACTACAGGTATTTCCTTGCTTTCTTCTTTTTTGGGTTTAGATATCAGTTTTTCCTTGGGTTGAGGGAACTCTTTCGCTGGTTTTGTTGCCTTAGACCTTAGTATTTCTTTGTCCGTAGGAGTCTTTACTTCAATTAAGTTATCGTTTGTTTGACTTGCAATTTTAGCCCATGTCATATTATTCGGCTCAGGAGCAGACTGTTTTTCTTGTTTATCAGAGTCGCTGTCAGATGTTGTAACAAGGGAAGTATCCTTTTGTGTTCTTTCTTTAGAAACACGGGTGTTTTCTTTAACCTTTTTAGATATATTTTTCGGTGTTTTCGTTTGACTGGCTTGGGTTTCTGTCTTTGAGGTTGTTTCACTGCTAACAGGCTCAGTTATTTTCTCCACTTTTTTCCGTTCCTTTATATCATCGACCCATTCACCAGGCCGTTTTACTAAAGCTGCCCATGAAAAACCTTGGGGTTGTGAAGGAGCTTCTGATTCCTTGGTTTCGATTGTTACTTCTTCTTTTTCTATAACTAACGGTACTTGGTCTATCTCAACTATATTTACGGTATTGTCTTCAGCATTTGTGTCAACGGTCTGCTCGCGATTAGGCTCTTCTCTTTTAGTTACTCTTTCAGGTTTAGGTTTTGTTTTCGTTTTCTTTTCCTTGATTTTTGATGGTTTTGCTTTTTCAGTCTTATGAACGGGTTCTACTGGCGCTTTTTGTTTAGAAACAGTTTCGTCTATCCATTCTCCCGGTCTACTAACTAATGACGCCCAGGAAATAACGCTTCCTTCAGATTTTGTTGTTGCATCATTATCAGGTACAACTACTGTTTCCACAGTTTGTTGCGGCTCATCCTCAGATGTCACTGGACTTTGACCATTTTCTTTCAATATATCGGATTCGTCACTCTCCAAGAAGTCAGCGTCATCAGATTTTGCATGAGCATGTATTTCAGAAGGCTTATCTGGTTTTGTCAAATCGTCCTTAGTTTTATGCTTCTTAGTCTTTTTGGGCTTATCCTCCCTTTCTCTTGATATTGGCTTTCCTTTAGTAACTTCCTTTTCAGTTTTTCTGTCAGTGCTGGCCACTTTTTTATCGCTGTCGACAAATACCTTCTTTGTTTTGCTAACGATGTCATCGACCCATTCACCCGGCTTCTTTACAATAGAAGACCATGAAAGCATTGGTGCCTGCGTACTATCTGGCACAGTTCGGGGCAAATCCGAAACGATTGGTTCTAAGTTTTCTTCAATATTATCTGGTGCTTTCTCAGGTACTTCCTCCGCTGCCGGTTCAATTGCTTTAACGACTTGTTCAGCTCTACGTTTCTCTTTCTTTGTTTTCTTTTTTTTCTCTTCCTTAGGTTTTATACTCTCAACAGGGACGACCTTTTCGACTACCTTTTCTACAGACACAGTCAGATTTTCGGCAACACTAAGGTTTGGTTTAGATTCCTCTTTATGCGAGTGATCACCAAATACAATATCAGCATAAGACTTTCCTCGTGATGTACTTGCATCCCTTGTATCGGCAGCAACTTTGAACTCTGCGGCATCAACATTGAGTTTTGAAGGTTTGTCATGTTTCTCTTCTGTAACAACCTTCTGTATGTTTTCTTCTCTTTTTTGCTGTTTAGACTTCTTCTGCACTTTTTCGTATTGCTTATGTCCATCTATGGAAGTGTTAAGATTTCTTTCGCTTTCTAAGAAAAGTATGTTTTGATCAGAGTCTGCCTGCCGTAAATAAGATGGAGTAAATTCTGGCGCGTCCGCAGATAATTTTGAGATAAACGCAATATTTTGTGAAATAGGTGTTGTATCCTCTAATACGCTTGACCAAGTGTCAATAACAGTTTTCTCCTCCTGAAGTGGCTTACCATCAGACCATTTAGGCATAATCAATAATTCGCTTTCACCAATACTTAATTCTTCCGAGAAGTTACTGACAGGATAATGCACTATTTCTGGTGCAAGTTGCACGTTCTCATAAGAGTCAAAAGAGTCAGCAGGTTTAATTTCCAAAATTTCATGAGAACTCTCATCGCCAAATGTGACAATTTTCTTGTTTTTAGGCTTCTCCTCAATGAGCTCAAAGTTAATTTCTTCATTCACAATAAATTTCTCGTCTGTTGGCAGAACTACTGGTGCACTCACTTCATTGGATTTCTTAACATTTTCCTTTGGCTCCTCCTTTACCAATACAATAGGTTGCTGTACAATGGTTTGCGTTTCAACAACCTCTTCAACTGGTTTCACTTCCTCTGCTTTTTCGATTTGTTTATCTTCGACCACAACAGGAACTTCTCCGACTGGTTTTGAATCTGGAGCCTTTAACTCTACTGTTTCGGTAACTACAGTGGTTGTAGTAGTG